GAAACGCCGGCGCGGGCGGCTGAAACGGGGGCCTTGGCCCTGGAGCCCCCCGCAGAAGGGGGCCTGCCCCGCTGCTCCGGTGGGGGCCCTTCCGGAGGGGTCATTCTCCGGAGCTTGCTGCCGGCGTGTGCTTGCATTTCCCGTGTGGTTGCAGCTCTGAAAAACAAACAAAAGGAGGTTTCCTCAGAGTTCAAGAAAGATTTTTGCTTTTATAGCGTGAAGGCCTCCAGTTCTGCACTTTCCTTGCCCAGAAAACCCAAATTGCATAGGGCGAGCAGCTGGAGAAAGCAGCCCTTCAATTGTTTGGTTTCTTCTCATTGTTCAGTGTGTGGCCTTAGGCCTCGTGTTTGGCAGTTTTTCGTGCTCTGAAGACAGCACTATTCCTCTCCCCGGGGGCTCTTCCCTGGCACCTCCTCACTAGAGCAATCCGAGTGCTTTACGGACAGAGAAAAATTTATGTTCCCAGTGCTCCCGTGTGAGGGCAACAGATGGCTATCGTGAATGACTTTGATCCGCCATGTTCAGATGCGCTTCAGGCTTCAGCGGGAGGACCTCGGCCTTTCAGGGCACTTTCACCCTGTAACACTTTGAAGCAAACTTCTGGCTGGCTACCGTGGAGCAGACAAGGGCTCAGGTCGTGCTCCCGAAAAGCAGGGAACTTGTCAGCAGTCGCTATCTATCATCTGCTGTGTTACCACCCAAAATAAGCCCGTTAGAGGTGCAGGAGAGTGACTCTTACGAATGCACCAAACAAAAGGATGTCTAGTGGGGAGGTGGGATGTACCACAATGTCTCTAAAAGCCTGGGGGTCAAGGAACAGCCATTTCCCGCAGTCCAGCAGTAACCAGTGGGTGTGCGGGTAGCAAGCTTAAACCAAGCAAAAAGAAGGTCACACCATGTGCAAGCGAGTCGTGGAAGCCATCGCCCCTGGTAGTACAGAAGCTAAACTTGCCTGCTGATTTGGAAAGGAACCATACAAATTCCTGGGGCGCCCTTGGTGTCTGGGTGCTGCTTTTGTCTCTTGAACTCGTTAAACGACAAATGACCGCAGAGGTGGGAGGTTTATTGTGACTTTCCCAACTCTCTTCTGTACTTTTTTCTCCAAGCATCTGCCACAGGTCGCTGCCAGGCAGGATGGTGGGGCACACGGAAGCTCAACCTCAGCAGGTACTGCAGGCTCTCTCTCAAAACCAGGCTCGGACATTTCCAGGTGGAGCTCAGAAGAGTTACAGAGTAGTTGTGAGGGGATGGCGGGGTCACATCCCCAGCCCCCTCCAGAGTGGAAGAGGAAAACCAAACTTGTGAAGCCAATCCCTCCTCGTTATAATCTTTTCCATCTGTCTGCTGAATGAATGTGATTAAAATGAAAGGCAAAATTAGTGGGAATGATAATATTTCAATTGAGTCTAATAGTTTTGCTCACATCGGTGTGTTTACTGTTATTAAGGCTTAGGCGTAAGTGGTTGTAACGCATCCAAGGCCACTGGAGTGCCAAGAACGGGGTCGAGCCAGATGCATGGCGGATGTGAGCCAGCACAGCGCCCTTGGCACCATGGAAGGGTGCAGCGCCGGGCGCCTCCAACCCAAGCCTGGCATTAATCACTCGAGGGACCGAAACCCCGGGCGGGGAACGTTCAGGCTGTGCTTTCACAGCCTGAGTTTCTTCCGCAGTAGTTCAGGTGTTCCCGCTCTCCTCCCTCCCAAGGGCTCGGCCTGGCTGAAGTGCTCGCCTTCCCCGCTGTGGCACTGCTCTTCTCCTGCTTTGGGTGGTTGCCCCCTTTCCTGTGCTCAGGGTGGGCTCATTCAGGGAGTCAACCTGGAAAGCCCAGCCATGGACCAGATTAGCAGCTGGGTCTGGCTTAAAACCCTGTAGCAGCAACAATGTGGAAAAGCCCATTTGGCTTTTTCTGAGACGCTTTTCCAGCTGGGTTGGGTAAGCCTGGCCAGAGGCACGCTGCAGAGGCAGGGAAGGGGGGGTGATGGAGGACTGCCCAGTGATGGTACCACAGGGGAAAGCCTTGTAGCTGGAGGATGGCAGAAGGACAGGAGAGAAGGAGATGTGAGAGTTCCCCCTGAGGAACACAGCCTTGACTACCCCAGACCCATTGCAGAGGCATCTGGCAGGACCAACGGGGTGTGTGTGAGTGGCAAAGCGATGGTGACTCCTTGCAAGGAGGCGAGCTGCATTGCTGATGCTCTCAAACAGGGAGTGAGGCAGAGGGTGAGCTTGTGCTAAGGGAAACGTGGCTCGGGAGGGCCTCTTCCTTTGCTGTCTCAGCTGGTTGCTCTCCATGTGAGGTTTCCTCAAACGCACCCCTTGGCTGCCAGTGGCTGGTTCCTGGTGTGTTATGCCTGTACCTTTCTTTGATCGCCTCTTTCCCGTGGCTTGGTTCCTCCTTTGCTGGCCTGGGCATAGCGGCACGCGTCCGCTCGTGGAGGCGGGGCTGAGCACCAGCCAGGGAAGGGCTGACTCACATGTGCAGGCGACTGCGAAAAGCTGAAGGCCATTTTTCCCCTGGGCAAACAGCTCAGGTCTCTATTGTGATCTTAGGGATAGCATGTCTGAAGCCAATGCTTAAGGGGCATTTTTATCCTGGTTTCCAAAGAAAATGAAGCTTGTGCAACCTCTGTGCCTCATCCGCCCCCTCCCTCCCCTCCATTCTGTTGCACAGGCATTTGCCAGCCTCCTTGGTAAGGCTCCATTGCAGGTCCTGTCTCAGTAAGACTTCCACATTTATTTGCCCCTTCCAATCATTTTGGTGGATGTGGAGGAGTTCTGGCTAAGCTTTGTGTAATGGGTGGTTACACCGAGCAGGGGGCCATCCTATGGAGGGAAGGGATGGCAGTGTCAGCTCAACCTTATATTAGCCACCAGAGAATCCACAAAATGGGGTGCTCAGTTGTGGCTTGCCTCAGTGGGTCACCAGTAGCGCTAAAGCCTAAGGAAAACCCTGCAAAACACAGCAGGGGATGGAGATAAAGTTTGAATGGAGCCCGTTTCCAGGTTCACAGTCTGAACCACAGCCCCCCTGCTCCCACTCCTTTTCTCCCACTCTCTCTTATCAAACTGCAAACAAACAACACAAAAGAAAAAAAAATCCCCAAGGTGTGTTTTCACAAAGCTTTCAGGGTTTTTTTTCCAGGGGGGTTGGTGAGCTAGCTGTCCTTCCCTCTTTTTGCGGCTCTTCCTCCCTCCCGGGTGGGTGTGCACATGCGGACGCATCACTTGGAAAGAAAACCCCAAAAAACCCAACTGCACAAAACCAGCCTAAACCAATCTCCCATCTGCTCCGTGAAGCTGCCCAGCCATTCTCAGAGGCTTGGCCCCAGGCTGGGGGCTCTGGGTGTGCAGGGGCTCTGGGTGTGCGGGTGTGCGTGTTGGTGCCTGCACGCCGCCAGCCTTGGGACAGCCTCAGAGATGAGCAGATGGGAAAACCTAGCGAGGAGGGGAGCACACTGTGCCTGTTGTTATTAGCATTGATTTTCTTCTTATGGCAGCACTAACAATAGCAGCAAAAAAAAAACAAAAACCAAAAGTAAAAATTGCTGTGCTGTGGGCACTTCTTGCTCACCGTGATGCCTTTTCCACTTTGAGAAACATAATTATCCCCCCCCTCCCCAGTAGCTGCAGCTCCCTGGTTGTGGCAGCGTAGTCATTGTGCAGGTGGAGC